GCTTTCTGAAACCAGAAGAAAATCTCCAGGAAAGCGCCCGGCAGGTGGCCAAAGGACATGCTGCTGGGCCGCCAAGGGCGCCGGGAAGGGTTTAAGGGCAGCTTCGGGCGCCGGGAGCCTTTAAGGCGCCGGGAAGGGCGCCGGGAAGGGTTTAAGGGCAGCTTCGGGCGCCGGGAAGCCTTTAAGGCCAGCCTACTGCCTAACGTTGCTTTCTGAAACCAGAAGAAAATCTCCAGGAAAGCGCCCGGCAGGTGGGCGCCGGGAAGGGTTTAAGGGCAGCTTAGGGCGCCGGGAAGCGTTTAAGGCCAGCCAACTGCCTAACGTTGCTTTCTGAAACCAGAAGAAAATCTCCGGAAAGCGCCCGGCAGGTGGCCAAGGACATGCTGCTGGGCCGCCATCGCCTAGGCAGGTGGGCGCCGGGAAGGGTTTAAGGGCAGCTTAGGGCGCCGGGAAGCGTTTAAGGCCAGCCTACTGCCTAACGTTGCTTTCTGAAACCAGAAGAAAATCTCCGGAAAGCGCCCGGCAGGTGGCCAAGGACATGCTGCTGGGCCGCCATCGCCTAGGTGCTCCTCGGACGCGCTCCCCCTGCCATCGTCTGGGGTCGGCGGATATATATTGCACACTTGTGGCAACGCGCTTGCATACTGATTGAAACCATTCGCCCACTACAGCACAAACAACACATGAAACTTTTCATACGATATATAAATCGAAGAGCTAAGAACAGGAGCGAGTATCGATCAGAAGGATGGAGAAGGGACCCCTTTCCACATGAATGCATTCTGGGAGCTGCTACTTCGTAGTCCAATGTGTTGTGTCATAGCAGTTTTATGTTAAGTTTTTCTAAAACAGTCTTAATTCTTTTTGGGTGTTACGCATCCTGTCATAAAAGCACAGCCAGACAGTTATGGTGGTAGGGTACCTGCATTAGATGTGCAGTGGCATAGCAAATTGCTGTGAAATATGCAGGAAAAACCAATCTTTTTGGAGAAAGGATAAGTTGGAGTTGCCCTTGCCATTTGCCAACTCTTATGATCAAAGTCAGTTGTAACCAAAGAGTCTTTATTCTATTCAATCCTGGAAGAATTCCATTGCATATGTAATTTACATGTGGGAAATGTGTGTGAGTACTGGCATGCGCTACTTATGTACCATCCATATCATAGACGCATACAGTAGTACAAACAAGGAAAATGCAAGTCCATCAATGTGTATGTACGCATATATATATGTACATATTTATATACACATAATATGGCTACAGTGACATTCTAAACGCGTATGCGCCTTGGGTGTGCTGATACAGCATATTGCTATGGCATATGCGATAACCATGTTGCCTACATCACAAGGAGCTCTTGAGACATCAGTATCTACTTGAAGACTGCAATGTATATGGTATATAGAGATAGTGTATACTTGTAGCAAGATTGTTAGATACTATCATATCTGAAACTATTTCCTCACTAAACATCAACATTATATACATGATTCTTTTCATGCACCAGATCAAAGAATAAGCACCAAGTCTATTACTTGCTCAAAAAATGGAATAACACACCCTCTAGTGCTATTTCCCGTTGTGTTATTTTTCTGGAGAATTATGTCAATGTTCTTACCATTTTTTTTTGCAGCTGCTCATGCTGCGTCACGCAGCTTCTCAGGCTACGACATTCCGTTGTGCTACATGCCACTTGCTTACTATATAAATTTTGCAAAGTTCTGTCAATATGCCGTCGTATTCTTTAACGTAAAAAACATGCACATCATTCTTTTCTTTAAGAATGCGTTTGTTCCTTTTGTATTCCGTTCTTGATGAATGTCTATAGTCCGATTGTTCACATTAGCTTTCCGTAGCCGACCGTTAGGGAGGGGCTATATATAGGAGGACTAGGAGGGGGGGGATCGAAAAGAAAAAACACAAAGGCAACAAAAAACAACACCATTTTTTTTTGGACCCCCTCTACCTTGAGGGAAGCTATATATACATACTATGTTTTTCTCCTTCTTTCCTTTTCTCTGGGGGTTTTTGTGGCTCTATGGGAGATCTCTGGCAACCTCTGGGGAAGTTTAACAAGGAGATCTCTAGCTATACTTATCATGGCCAACTGAGCTACAGAAGGGTTGTAGTAGTTTGAATTAAAAATTCGAAAAACATGTAGAAAAATGTGTTTTAAAAATGCATTATTTTTGACATGTGAAAAACATGTATTTTAAAAATGTAAAAACACTGTTTTTTTTTTAAAGCAAGTTTGAAGCTATGTTCTCTTTTCCTTCTGCACTTGATTTTATGTTTTTGCTCCTGGTAGTCATTGCTTTGCTATAGATGTATTAAACAGATCTGCGATCTGCACAGTCCACTTCCGATCGATTTGAACTGCTCCTCTCCGATTTTCAACCTGCAGAAGTTGGGCCGGCAGCAAAGTAATTGCAGCAAAACTGGACCCCAAAAAATCAAACCTGAAGAAACAAAATCAGAGTTCCTCCTCCCCAACTGGATTTTCATTTTTTTTCACGTTTTTCACATTTTTTCACATTTTTCCCCAAGTGCATTTTCAAAACGCTTTTTTTTTCACATTTTTTCCGACCGCATTTTCAAAACGCATTTTTTCACATGTTTTTCACACTTTTGTGAACAAAAGTGAAAAATGTGAAAAAATGCGTCTTGAAAAGCGATTGGAAAAACATGTGAAAAATGCGTTTTGAAAATGTGCAAAAAAGTGAATAAAATTTGAACCGTTGGAACAAAAGGCAGTCGAAAAGTTCCTCTTTCTTAGCTCCATTTTTCCATTTTTTTGCAGATATAGGTGTTTTTCAGGTTTTCTTTGAAACCCAATGTTAAATTATAGAATATTAAACTTAAACATAGGGATTCCACATAAGCATATATTCATTTTCCATGATTCATGTCAATAGGTTCACAATGAATGTAAATTCTTTGAAATTTTAATTAGGAAATGTATAAAACCATGTGATTTCCTTTTTTTTCTCACATTTTCATCATTTTTTCACATCTTTTTCACATTTTCACATTTTTGAAGTGCATTTTTTCACATTTTTTCCAATCGCATTTTCAAAACGCATTTTTTTCGCATTTTTTCACATTTTTAATTAACCATTGTTTTCAAGCTTGTAGCTGGAAACGGCCATGATCAAGCTACACCTTGAAAGTGGTTTCCAATGTGTTCAAGGTTCTTCATGTCGGTCCTTCATGACATAAAGTAACATTATCTAATTAAGGTATATGAACATACATGATGAAATATGATGTAGTAGAAACGCTGCATTCCTAAAAACGTGGAAATATGGGGACCTGACAGCGTGCCTTTCTGTAAATATGCATATATATATATACACACATATGTATGATGTATATATATATATACATAGCCCAAACCTTACGTAAAGAGAATTGGCCCAAGGGTAAAACTGAGTCTGCCTATATATATATTACAATATACAGTTATAGACATCCCAATCTTGATTTAAATAGAATTAGCCCAAGGGTGAAACTGGGACCGCCTAGTACCAATATCTACATCCCAAACTCTGTCTAAAGATCATTGGCCCAAGGATAAAATTGGGTCCGCTTGTCTATATCTATATGTATGTAAATATAAATATATATATATATTTATCTACTGTATTTTTTTTTAAATCCCAAATATATATATATATATATCTATATTTAGGCGAACCCAGTTTATATATATATATACATATATTTATTTAGGCGAACCCAGTTGTACCATTGGGCCAATGCTCTCTATGTAAAGTTTGGTATGTATGTACATATATGTCTCTATAGGCGGACCCAGTTTATTCCTGGGCCAATCATATTTATACAAAGTTTGGAATGTTTATAGCTGTAGATTATAATATACATAAAGGCGGACCCAGTTTTACCCTCAGGCCCATGCTCTTTGTGTAAGATTTGGGATGTATATATATATATATATTTGTGTATATACATATTTATAGATAGATGGGCGGACCCAGCTTTATCCTTGGGCCAATGCAATTTATGTACAGTTTGGGATGTAGGTATTTGTGTTTACACACACATATATATTTGTATATATAGAGACGCGGGGTTAACGCCACCCAAGGAGCCAGACATGGGGAATCTACATGAAACTCACGTTTTGTTTGTTGGTGCCATCTTGGGCAAATTGTAGGGCGGTTTCGGAAGAAGAAAACTCTGAAGCGTTCAGCATTAAAACCTGATGTCGAAGTTTTGGATGCCGTTTGGGCAGGACCGTCAACTTTTCACCTGATAGCGCACCCAATCATTGTTGGATTTCATGCATCAAAGCTGTCCACCGCCTGTAAAAAAGAGGAGGGTGACGGTTCGACTGCAGGATTTCCTGCCCGCGCGCCGGAACAAAAATTAAAGCAGCTACATGCTTTAGGTTCCTGGTCGAACCCTGAGCACCGGCACCCCAGAGCATCTTTCTGACCGCACCGTGAGCCACATGCTTCTCCAGGGCGTATGACGTGAAGGAGGAGGAGGAGGAGCGGGAAAGGGTTTGTTTTGAATTGTTCGTGTGGAAGCCTTTCCCTGGATAACGGACCTGGCCAGCAATAAATCTTAGGTCGCAATCGTTCCGCCCGTGGGTGAGGGTCCGGACCACTTTAACATCATATGTTGACATTGGCACTGTCCAATTTTACCTTGAGCGTCCCCTGCAGTTGAGGTCCGGCAGTGCCCATTGTGATCTGGAGCTCGCGGTTGAGGTCCGGCAGTGCCCATTGATATCTGGAGCTCGCGGTTGAGGTCCGGCAGTGCCCAATGTGATCCTGGAAAGCTCGCAGTTGAGGTCCTGCAGTGCCCCCTGAGATCTGGAGCTCGCTGTTGGGAGGAGGAGGAGCAACTCTGATAAACAAAATCTAGAGACACTCACCGAAAAACATGTCATCTCACATCCTGTAGCCCTCAAAGTTGAGAGAGCAAACAATTAGTTTGCTAAATTTGAAGTTCGGATTTCACCTATCCCCAGGCACTGAGCGTTTCAGATACGCCTACGTTTGGCGCACTCTGATGAAGGCCGGCGTGCACGTGGCAGGGGGCAGTGATGCACCGGTGGAAGCACCAACGCCCTTGGTGGGCATGGCAGATGTCACTGGGCGGAAAGGGCTCGATTTCTTCTACTAGTATGAAAAATGGTAAAAAAAGGGGGTTATGATTCATATGATATAAGCATGACATAAGAATGGCATAACTTGGAATGATAACTTGGGTTTTCCTATTTTAAGGAGACCTCCAAAGTTGGGATGAGGTGCTGAAAAATCCAGCAGAATTGCATGGACAGATTTTGGTTGGTTGTGATTTGATGGATATTTGTTGAAGGATTGAAGGATACTTAAGTTGACTCAGTTGATTAGATATGCCGATATGCTCCTTGTGAAGCATGGCATTCGCTGCAGTGTGGCGTGGGATCTCACTGCCATTTTGGGAAGTGGCTACGCCGCTACATGTATCGCTAGGGTTTGCTGAAGTTCCCACAAGCACACCCCAACACCCCCACAGCAGGGGTAACTTCCAGATACCATATCATATAGACATCTACAAACAAGTTTACTTGTGCATTCTGGGCCCTCGCGTGCTCGAGGTACGTATGCAACATGCAACATATACATAATTGTATTGATATAATATGAATGCGAACATATACATACTTGTTTACTTATATATCAGTATATTCATATCTTCAAACATATATATATACATATTATTATTTTTTATTTTTCTGAAATTATTTTATGTATATTAAAATAGTTGTGGTTATTTATTGCTTTAATATTGTATATTATTTTAAATTATATGAAATTATATTTTGCATTTTTTTTTTAAATAATATAATTTTTAGTTTATCAAATTATATTATTGTACTATTTTTTTTTTTTTAAGTACATATTTTCTATCAAGTAATAATATCTTGTATTATATTATAGTATATTTTGGTATATTATGTTTCTTTTATTATATTGTATTATATCATAATATTATATTGTATTTTAATATTTTATTGTACTATATAGTTTTACTTGATTTTATTTTATATTTTATCATACTGCAATATTTTTTATATTGTTTTATATTCTCATTATATTGTACTTTATTGAATTACATTACATTAGATTATTTCATAAAGTTTATAGTAATATAGTTTAAAATGTTATCATTTTACTGTATTATATTGTGCTACTGTATATTGTACTATATTATATTGTGTTATTTTATTTTTTATATTATATAATAATATTATATTATTTTATTTTTTGACATCATATGATATCATATGATATGATCTGATATTATATTTTATTATATTATTTTGTTTTATTTTGTATTGTTTTATTTTATATTCTATTGTGTTACATCACTTGTTTTTTATTGCATCATTTTTTATTTTATATTTTGAATATATATTATTTATATTTTTAAATATTTTTTTACAATACATTATATTATATATTGTATCATATCGTTTCTTCCACTTGATATGATATGACATTATATTGTACTATATGATCTATTTTGATATGATATGATATTATACTTTGACATAATTCTGATATGAAACATGGTCTCTGCTAAAAACCCATTCTGATCTTCACCACGTCACCGCCATGGCCGAGGCCATGGAACATGCGCTTTTCGAGGCCGAACGGATGACGTTGGTGGAGGCGCTCTCGATGTACACCCTGGAAGCGGCCTATGCGGCACGCGCAGAGGAGCCGGGCGCCGGGCGGAGCCGCTGGTGGGCTTGGGGGGATTCCATGGCCAGATATGGCCAGTTTCATGGTGCAAGCGCGGTGAAATAGGATCAGAATCTGATGGGGATATATATATTATATATATATATTAATGTATATATATATAATTATATATATAATTATATATAGGGATTAATAGGGATATTATGGGATGTAGAATGATATAATGGTGAGATGTGGTGAGCAAGGGGTTATACCACCAACCATTTAACCAACCATTCCACCTGGCAGAATTTTGTAACGACGTCACCCCTCACCGCCACGTTGAGTGGGTGACGAGTCCATGGACTAGATCCAGAAGTACCCCCCCGGTAATCAAAGATGGTTTGCTGGAAAATCTAGCATTTCAAGATGATTTCCCCAGCGAATTAAACCTCTATAGGGGATTTCCAGTATTTTTCTGATATTTTCCAATGATTTTCCAATTTTTTTGCAGGGGATTTTCCATTGCCATGTTTGATGACCAGAGGGTGCACGCTTTAGGGCGACCCTGGAGGAGCGCCTGGGAAGTTTGGAAGTTGGGAAAGAGGCCGACTTCGTGGTCCTATCCTGCAAGTCTGATGCCCAGGCCGTGGGCCATGGCTCAACATGTGCCGCCAGTAACCATAGAAAAAACCATGGCAATCCATTGGGTTCCCTTGGAAATGGTGGATTTTTCCATTTTTTACTGGAGCGTATCCCATTTTACCTAACATTCCACAACTTCGCCGGTTGGGTGAGTGACACAGGGGGCCACTGGGCATGAAAACTGTTTCGGATCCAGCCGTCTGAACATATTCGAGACTCAAACAAATCTTGGAAAAGTGGTGTCAAAGGTTATTCACCCTACAAACCAGCTGGTGATTTGAGCCACAGAAAGAACAAGATGCTGGGAAAGGGAAGGGCAGCATGTGACATCTGGGTTGACATCCCAGAGATTCATAGAAGTGCCCATGTAGTTTAAATGCCTTCCATTGTCTCATGGCAACTGCAAGCCCTGTTGTGTTTCCTGGCCTCATTGGCCACGTTGCGGTGCTGCGGTGCTCAGCTTGGGAAAGAGGTTTCCCTCGAGCTGAAAGATTGGGAATGTCGCCATGTGAATGGCATCATCGACTGGAACGGACTGCGCGAGATCGCGGTGGAAAACGTGGACTTCGAATCAGTGACAGTCATGAGCGAAATGTCACACATTTCAGTGGGGATGAGAATGCCAGACTTACGTGCTCTTGCCTTTCAAGAGTGTCCTCTAGGAACCATTTTCTTGTCATCTCTGAGTCTAGGGGTGTGTCTCTTCAAGAATGCACATGACATCACGGAATGCACTGACGTTGCGGAGTTTGTGATGGAAAGCATGTTTATGTTGGACATCCCCTTGGCCGTCCTTCTGACTTCAGCTTGGCCATTAAGGAGCCCACAAAAGATGGTGTTTCTCTATGAGAGGGGCGCGCACAGAACCAGCGAGTTCTGGCACTCCATTCAATTTGATCCGATTTTGAACTGTCAGGGTGATGACTTTTGGGAAGGTTTCTTGAAGGATCTGAACATTGCCATTGACGAAGGTGAGCCTTTGGTCAAAAACTTGACAAGTTACATCCAACATCCTTCGATCTCGGAATTGGAATGGCAACAACTCACCACCAATGACTTCCAACCCTCCTGTTTCTTGGGCTGGATCGCCATGCTGATACTGAAAGCTGCCATGGGTTGGCATACCGAACCCCGCACCTACTTCACCTACGCTGAGGTCCTTCGGCCCTACTTGGCCGCGCTGTCGCCCTGGCATTTTTTGGGCTCAAGTTGGTTCCTGAGTTTGCTGCTGCCACATGTGTGTCAATACCACCGCACCGTCTTTGATTTGGATTTCCACCAAGCTGAGTTGATGCAAGATCTCAAGCCAGAAATCTCTGCGTTGAGCCTGGGCTCTGAAGCATTGAAGGCGGTGGCGCGGGCCGTGCTGTCGGGCGGGGCAGAGCCGTATTGGCTGAAGGAGGAGCAGAGGCTGCTGGCCTATGCAACTTATGTTTGGGGCGAGGAGTATGTGAGATGGCTCCCAGCCTTCATACAGCGATTTCAAGAAATTGGCGTGTCCAACCTCATCATTTTCTGCGGCGATGAGGCAGCCTACAGCACTTGTTTGCAGGTGGAAGAATCCACCTGTGTTTTGCTGACTTCAAGGACTGGCCTGCACCGCTACACCATTCCCCTGGTGCTTCTGAACCTGGGGGTGGATGCCTTTGTCATTGATTTTGATATCTACCCTTTCAAAAACATTACCGCAAAGCTGATTAGCGAACTCGAAAGCTATGAAGAGGATGCAGAGTTCTTGGTGGGTGGCTCGTTTGGAGATGCATGCATTTGCAACGCTTTTGCATTTTACAAGAACACACCCAACATGCGTGAATTTACGCGGATACTTCTAGCATGGCTATATCAGTATCCCTTTCCACATGGCATCACGCAGAAAGCTCTCTCAGCCTTTCTGGGCGAAGACCCCCTACAAAAATCAGATGGTTCTCAGCCGTGGCTGGTGAAAAAAGAGATTCTGGTGAAGAAGCTTCCACCTCGACCCCAGCTCAAATGGTCCTTGTTCGAGCCTGGCGTGGAATTCTCATCCTCTCGAAAATTGGCCACCTCAGGGTGGGCCGGGAAGCAGGAAGACATTGTGGTGTATCACTTCTTCCACGGTGGCTGGTTAGCCTCTGAAAGTCCCTCAGATCCCAACGATGCCTGGGACGAGTTCGACATTTTCTACAACTTCACCTGTGACCAGGTGCCCAAAACCTGTTCGACCCGCAGGGAGGAGCGCATCCGGCAACTTCTGGAGAAGTCGCGCGTGGGGGATAGCAGGCCATATACAAACCTCTCCTGCCAAACCCTCGAGGTCTTGGACTACACCGTGATGGTGCCGGTTGCACAACCTGGGTAGAGAAAAGGATTACCCGTTCCCGGAGCAGTCAGGTTGGTTTTACTCGCAACATGATTGGGGTTTGGATCCAACAATTGGTTGAAGCTCGTTCATACTAAGCAGATCCAAGCAGTAAAGATCGGTCATTTGAGCACCGGCGATTTAAACCGTGGACTTGGGATTGTGGGAGAGAATCAGCAGAGGTGAGAAAAATCCCCTGGAAATCGATCCATTTTTGGAGCACTTTCCATTTCCAAGATTTTCCAGGGGGTTAACTTGGACGGTCTCTTTTTGATCATGCACAAATGTTTGATTTATTTGGGAGCTTAGTGCCTTGGCACACGGGTATATAATTATCTGTAAGAGATATAGTACAGTAGATCCTTACGATGCCCCGGTGACTCAGCATCAGCTTTATTCATCACTGCAGGGTCAAGAATGTATCCTGCAGTTTTATACATTTTTTTATACTTCTTATACCATTTTTCGGCATGCCAACGATAAAGACCCAATTCGTACATGGGCCCCAGTAGCTACCCCAAGCACTGGGGTCAAACTAGTTTTGAACAGCTAAATGGCTATGGATCAATACCTATACATACCATTTTTAGGGGGATGAACATCCATTTACCAGCTATTTTGATGTTCACCAGGGGTACAAGGTTTTGACCCATCCCCAAATGAGGTGGAATCAACCACCTGTCCAGTTTTTTTTACCCATCGAGGGTTCATGGCCCACTACCAGGGACTCACAGCCTCTGAACTACGAAGTTGCCAAGTCGAGAAGGTTTACGTGTGGCTTGGTGAAAAGAAGATGTGCCCAGGATGGCCTACGGGGGTATACTGGGCTAGGATTGTTTGGTGACATTAAAAAATCTGAAACTCACAAGTGATGTCAGATTCTGAGATATTGTGGGAGAACATGCCATTCTGTGATCTTGGGAAGACTTTGGAAGCCAGAACAGTACAAAAATGGGTAAACCATGGTAAACCATCACATTTTATCGGGGAACCAGACTTGACCCTGGCCCAGGCACGGCAAGCTGGTGCACGAACTGACCAGTGACGCCAAGCGCCGGCGCGTGGCGCTCGGGGACGGGCCGGGGAAGAGTGGCCTGGTGCCGTTCGTGCGGGGCCGCTGCCCGGCCTGCAGCATGGCATCGCATAGCTGTTCCAGCGCCTCCAAAGTCGAGGGCTGATGGGCCATTTGGCCATGGGCCATGATGATCCATGATGGTCATGGGATGACATAGCCTCCACTTGTAATGACCATAGTGGGCAATGAAGGGTGATAGGAACCAGATGAGGTCACTGTGGGTGAGTGAAGGCTGTCCCAGTTAGGGTCAATTATATATCTCCGTGATTGTTTTAAAGGGCTTAAAAAGGTGTGCGGCTGGGTGGGCAGTGCGGATGTGGATGACTAGGTTGACGTGGCATTCGGGTTACGTGCCCCGGGGCGCACAGTATTTTATGCTACAAAGAGATGCCATTCTGATGCTCCCGTCAGGCCGCCATTGATATGCTTTGTGATCCAAGAGCCCAAAGTGGCTCACAGGCATCGAAATGATGAGGCCAACATAGGCCAACATCATCAGATCACAGGCATTTGCTCCCACCAGAAATGGATGTCAAGGTAGGATCAACATGAGATCCTCCAGAGGGACGGGTCAAACTTATCATTTCGGCCAGCAAGCCAAGCCCAGTAGGATGCAGGTGTGTCTCAAAGATCCTCAAAGGGTACAGTAATGAAGGATGATGAGTTGGGTCTGAGTAGACTTGTGCCTGAAGTTTGACAGCAACTTTAAGACTTCAAGCTGCCACTTTGAGACACTTCCAGATCTGTACATATCGAGTCATATCGAAGGTTGAGAGAGCCGCCCGGCACGGACTGAGATTATGGTCAGTGGTTTCATGCCACGCTGCCGCAATCAAGAAATAAGGCATCCCCTCTCACACAGGTACATAGATAGGCGGTCACCCTCGAACATCTATGAACATCTTATTATCATGTAGTCTAATTTCCTAGGGTGTCTTTGTCAAGTTGATACCGTGAAAAGAGGGTCATGCAGTTGGAGCAGAACTGCTTGCTCCGCTGCTGAAGTGCCAATGCTCAAGGACAAAAAAAGATGGATTTTACCTTCGACTACATGTTACATTATGTTACTGAGTGTGGCCGTGGTATTTGTTGTGTCGGCTATTTCGTGGCTGTGATTTGTGCCATGCTATGTCGCGATGCCGCGCATGATTTCGGATTCAGTAATGAAGATGTGAAACGAATTTATCTCGCCATTTTATGCCATGTTACCCTCTGGTTATTTAACATAGCCATGGGAAATGGCCCATTTATAGATGGTTTACCTATTAATAGCATGGTGATTTTCCATGGCTATGTGAGTCATAACCAGATGGTATCTACAGGCAAAGCTGAACAGAGTTCTCGATGTTGACAAGAGAGGTCGTTGTGTCCACCCCAAAAAGTGCCATCGAACTGGAGGACGACAAAGCACAGGCCATTGCGATTTCATCTTCCAAGGCGCCGGCCACTAAGCTGGTATCAATGAAGTACCTATAATGAACAGGTCAATGTTCTCAGTGATGGGGAGCTACACAGACAGAATGTCAGCTGTCTTCCGGCTCGTTTTCAGTTGGTTCTGAGTCCTCCATGCCTGAAGACCTTACAAGCCAGTTCTGCAGGAATGCAAAGGTCCATTCCCCATGGATACCAGTAGAATAGGAGCAATTGGGACGACAAAGCCTGAGCATACGCATCCACTCTCTAGACTTGAATTTTGGCATTGCAACCCCACTACCCCAGAAGAACTCAGTTGGATGTTGTCACAAAGGGTTGTTCCGAGTTTACAACTAGATAAGCCATGACAAACCGATACCCACAGGTATCCCACAGGTTTTTGTGAGACCCCAATTTTTCAGCCTTTTCCCATCTTCCCAGCATCGCCCCAGTAGCCCAGTAGCTCCCGCGAGGCCAGCTTTGGACAACTGGGAGCCCCCAGTGGATTGGTCGGCCTCGCCAGGCCCGTCCCAGCTATGATCTGCTGCCAGATGTGATGTCCGAAGATTTTCGAAGTTGGCGTCGTTTGACCAACATTTGACCAACATTTGATCATTTTTGTCAAGTCTTTTTGTGTCTTTCTTAATGTTGAACATGTTGAAACTTGAAGGATGAGGTGCTAGCTCAAGAACGTCTTGAAGAGGGAGTATGGACGCTCTCGAAAACACATCCATGTGCAGGCAGCAAGCTTTAAACTTGACAGCGGCACTTGTGGCAGGTTCATAGTTTTGTTGGTGTGGACCTTACTTTGGCCTGCCCGGGGATGGTAAAAAGGTGTGGAAAGACAGCTCAAATTGGCTCATGGCAGAGGAAGTCTATCATTGGAAGATTTGTTTTTCCAATGCATTACAATATATTATATATAGTATATTAATGTATATGTTATATGTCATTATATGTCTAGGTGAAACCTTGTTTGCCTGCCTCCATTAGGTCAACTGTGAACCCTAACCTGGAAACATGGCTGAGGAACGTGGCGTGCATGGACCACAAATCCACTTGCATGAGGCCGCAGCGTCCACGTCGGAACTCATGAAAATCATGTCGATTTGACCCGCTTCAAATGGGGATAGAACTGGATATTAGATGATATTAGATGATATTAGATGATATTAGATGATATTAGATGATATTAGATGATATTAGATGATATTAGATGATATTAGATGATATTCGGCAGTATGATGGTAGTTTTCAAGATCTTTGATTTATCTTAGGCCCTTAGGCATGTCCATCCCAGATGGGGATCCTAATCCCATTTGACCGGCGAAAAAGCACCATGTTCTTCACCTGGGTTGGGCCTGCATTCATCCTAGCACCTAGGCAATGAACCGTGGTTCATGATAACCTGAAACAATCTTAAATCATCGAAAATATGCAATCATTACCGATTGCAACACCCAGGCAATACACATGGCTTTGAAAAATCAAGGGACACCCCGAAACTCCAGTGGTTTTATCATGTTTATCATCATGTTTGCTATGACTATGACAATAACTCGAAGGACAGGCCTATTGGATTTTGGGGTATCCAATCTCTCCAAAAACTGGCCTAGTTGGTGGATGCCCAACTGGATGAAGAAGCAAGATCGTGCCTTGGGATGCAGGAAGGTCCACGGAACGCGGCCTGGAATGTGATATCTACTTTTGATCCAAGAATCATAGAGTTCATACCCTCTGGTAATTTAACGTAGCTATTGAAAATGGCCATTAATAGTGGATTTTCCCATTAAAAATGGTGATTTTCCATAGCTATGTTAGTTTACCAGAGGGTAGAGCTCATAAAGTTCATAGATGTATTACATGTTCATGTCCTTTGTCTTGGGAAAAACCGTCTTGTTGAGGAAACCGTGTTTGGAGAATTTTGATGGCCACCCCCCATGCGTGAACTGGCTGGGAAAATTCTTTGACGGATCATCATGAATCGTGGCCTCTTCTTGATGGATATGTACAGTTATAGTTGTCTATAGTTATATTATATTTATAATATATATAATCAATATATTAATATACAATATATATATACATCCATATAGAATATGATATAAAGCTTCTAGTCCCGAAATGATGACCTCCAGGTTCTCGGAATAAATCACCTCCCACGAAACATTCGAAGAACGGTGCTTTGAGGCGGATGCTGTTCCTCACAGAGGCGACAGAAGCCAGAGGCTGTTCCTACGATTTGGGGATGGATGACCCATTTCTGGTGATCTTGGGGATGGTTTATGATTGGGTTTACCACATGATAATCTGATATGGTGAAAAAAGATGTTCAAAACACTAGGGATTTTTTTGGCCTTTCCGCGAATGTTCTCGATCCTTCGGACCCCGACACAAAGCTGATGTAGATACCCTATAATCCCTGATACCTTGCGAAATGATGTGATGATTTGACATGGCAACTGTGAAATGACTGGATCTCACTGAATCTCCAGGCTATGCGCAGATTTATGGCGTTTCCTCCTTCGGCCGCTCTGGGAGCAACTGTCACCAGGCCACCCTTTGGCCCAGCGACGGCCGGGGAGGGTCCAGGGGCCCCACAACAGCCGCAGGTGCTGCTGGGTCAGAAGCCCACACCTCCTGAACAGCCGCAGTTCAGGTGCAGCTGGGGGTTGTGCTGTGGATGTAGTGTTTCTTTAGTCTTTTCGAATGTTTTCCATGGGTCTTTAGCATACGCGCTAAGTGAAAGGCCAACACCAGTCCAAACGGCAAAGGGCCAAATCTTTGAGATGTTGAGACGCTGCCAGATCCATCCAATGGTGGCCTGGCTCCAAACGAAGCGAGCAGGCACTGTCCCAAGACTGTGGAGCGAGTCCCCCAAAATTCAATGGCCATGGTTTATCATAATCATTTTCAGCATGAACCTTGCAATTGAAGGACATCCCTCATTTTGAACGCACGCCCGGGTAAGGGGTCTGAATTTTCCCACAAATTGGAGGGATGGAGGAAACATCAGTTCCGAGAACATCGCTGGGACAAGTGAGGGACGTCCACCGCATTCGCTTAGCTTCATCGGTGTGGCAGACACCGACAATTAGCATGGCACCGCATGAGGGCAGACAAAGACGCACAGAAAGCAGATGGAGATGGATCAAAATTCTCCAACCCCAAAATGGATGGTTTAATCATGACAATGAATGAACATGAGAAATGGTGTAGGTCCATTGGTACCTCAACGACTCGACCAATACCCAGATGAAGAGATCTCAATTGTGGAAGAGGTGTGTCAAAGAAACTGGAAATCGCCTGCAAGTTTAGCTCCTATGGATGGGTGAACATTGGATACCTCCACAAGTGGATGGTTTCAGACCCAAAAATGGCAAGTTTGAGAAGCCGAAAGTGGATCAATATTAACATTTGGACGGTTTATGACTTCCAAAGATGACTAATGACCACCAAGCACCAGCTTGGGTCCATCATTTTGATCCAGAATTTGATCTCACCAAAGCGACAAAAACCGGCATAACACCGCCATAAGCTTGACGAAGACGCCACCGGACGTCACGACGTCTGGGGCAGTGGGCCGCCAATGGACGTGCCATGTCTACGGTTGACCTGGCAGTGGTTGGCAATGGCATGTGAGGACCTCAGATTTGGTGGCAGGTAAGAGGTTTCCAAAGGCAACGCTGTCCCCCAAGCACTGAGGTATCATGACTATTCTAGAAATTTGAATATAATATAATTAATGTACAATAAGAGCAGGTCTTTACTATATCATTACCAGAGCCATAATAATAGATAATAGCATAATATTATATAATACCCGTATTTAGTTAGGGATTATAGCTGACTCCAATTTCGATGATTCCGAGCCAAAGGTTGACAACGATTGGGGTAGTTTGAGGACATGTTTCAGGACGTCGAACACCGGCGAAGCGCCTAACCATGAACATGACAATCATAGTTTACTACACGCAGGGAAAAAATGATATCCCCATCATCCCCTTCATCTTCATCCTCATCCAAAAAAGAAACATAAAAAACCTATTCTCAGCCTCAGCCTCTTAATTTTCCCTCATGTTTGGGTCGTTTCAGTGCCGACCGTCAGGTTTGGTGCCCTCGTGGATGAGACCGGGCGCTTCGTTTGGTGTTGCATGGACACCTTTGGAGGCCGGGGTAGCGGTGGCTGGAGTTGGGGATCCCTCATTTTGAGAAATTTGAGAAACCGCTGGAAAAAAAACAGAAGTGTGAAACTTTATGAAACTGCTGGATGAAACACATAAACATAAACATAAAACCAAAATTCAAACACCAACGTCTTTGCGTCCTGTGATGGTCTTTTCCGTACCAGCAAAAAAAGCCAACGTCTTTGCCTAGTGGCCTAGTAAGATCTGATCACTGCCAAGGCGATCCGGTCTTCAACTGCTTGGTCAACAACAACTCTGACAAGACTTGAGCTCAGCAGTTTGTCGGAGTCGTGGATGCTGAAAGGGTTGGAGCTTGGACGATGATTTTTTTCATTTTGCCCATTTGTTGAAACATAGATTCATCGTGCTTCACATCAAATCATCAAGGAACCGGAATCTTGATTTCAGGAATTTGTAGACATCAATAGACATCATCTAGTAGATCATTTGAGCAGTTTCAAAAACTCTAGCTTGATGTTTGATCCGCATATTCTAGGGGTTAGACATTTAATACATGATGATACTATATGTTCTGTTCGCCTGCACATATTTTCGAATCACTGGAAAATGGCCGGTCATGGCCCGGTCACTTTTTTTGGGATTTCCTCCAAAAAGGACGGGCTTCTATGATGTGGTGCTAGAAGACTTCCACCAATCCGAACAGCTCTATGAAGGTGCGAAACCATGGCTGTCCCATATGGAGGTTTCCTAAGTCATGGGGGTAGCACCATCCAAATTCGACCATTTGAGTATTGAAAGCCACGGTTTTGGGGGACCCAGCCCATATATTCACGAAATTTCACGAACATTCTGACATTCTAGTAAACAATGATTCGCTAAGCTGAAATATGTGAATTTTAGATCTATTTGATGCGTCCAGAAATCTGGTTTGAAAGATTTGTTTCCCCCCCTTGCTGGTCGAAAGGAGGCAGGCCTGCGGAGTCCTGCCAAACTGAATTCACCAAGACATCCAGCATGGTCCTGCCAAAGTTTTCATTGGAGATGGATGAGTAGTTCATATGGGTATGGGTCAATACCTATAGATACATTTTTAGTGGGATGAACATCCATTTACCAGCTATTTTTGGGTTCACTAGGTACCAGGGTTTTGACCCATCCCCATATTAGTTGGGCGTGTTTGGGAATAGTATACCGTATACCCAAGAATCCAGTGGTTAATCAGCATTCTTCCCATGAAAATAGTCTCAAGTCCCAATTTTCACCATCACTAGATAGTTAAATCCCGATGTTCCCCAAGATTTGACAATCAAAACTCATTTCATCCAACTTTTTGTTGAACAATTCCATTGAATCTCAATTTTTGATGGACAAATCCCATATCATCCCAATTTCACATCAGATTTTCCATTGAAAATTCTCAAGTTCCTCCAATTTTTGGGTGGCTTTTCCAGGTGCCAGCACGGTGCTCATCACAAAGCTAGGTACGAGCAAGGATGATGTGGCCTGAGGGCCCAGGGTAGGTCTACGGAGTCTAAGGCTGGGAAAATCGTCGAAGTATGGGGTCTCCATTGAGATACTGGAGATATCACTGATAATTATACTGTATCAGCAACAGCATTTTTTGAAGATCACCAATATCAACCCAGCCATCAACCACTGTTTGAAATCATGATGAGTTCATGGCCTCCCAGCTGCTCCTAGGTGGAGATTCGAGACTTTGCCCCGCGCTTCATACATTATGAGCCTCGGCACCGGGTTTTGGTGACCTGGGATGACCTGGGCGAAATTGAAAGAATCATTATATCATTGAGATCACTTGGCCATGTAGCATAGATGATCATGTATTACTTGCATTACTGTAATAGACTTTAATCACATTCAATCTACATATAATATACATAATAAATATATATATATATGTATGTATATATGTATGTATATATGTATGTATATATGTATGTATATATATATATATGTATGTATATATGTATGTATATATGTATGTATATATGTATGTATATATGTATGTATATATGTATATATATATAGAAAATATAGATAACATACTTATAGATATATAGCCACAACATCGGTTCATCCTCGGACTCACATAAAAACCTGGTGTCTTCTTAAAATGTATTTTTTCCTGCGGTTTTACAGGGAGCATTTAACGAAGCTTTGTTGATACCTTTGAGTTTCCGCCAAGGACCGAATCTTTCGACCTTTCCAGCTGATCCGCTTGGTTCGACGCTTGAAGGCGACACTCGCTGTTCAGCATGAGTGGAATAGGCAGCAGGTGCAAGAGAATATAGATCAACATCATCTACCCATCTACCCTCCAGAAAAATCACATTTCAATGTGCCACTCGCTGGGAAATCGCTGAACAGTTCGTGGAGCTAACTGGTCCCCATTTTATCATCGAAGAAATTGGTGGATCTTCGAAAAAGCCATGTGGGTATGGATCAATACCTATTAATACCATTTTTAGGGGGAATGAACATCCATTAACCAGCTATTTTGGGGTCACTAGGCCCATCCCCATGTTTTTTCTTACCAGATCATCGAACTGCCACAGGGGGATCCTCGCATCTCTATCCGCATTCGGCCCACCTTCCAGTGCCCTTTTTACGCAGAGGTGACAGCCTTTTGTGGACACTGCGTATGGTGATGCTTTGTATTGGCTGATAATGACTGATACAATATATACTAACTTATAATACAATTGTTATTGTTTATTATATTAATTATATGATGAACGAAAAAAATTCTGAGACCGGACCTCCGTCCCCGGCCATTAGAACCATGGCGGCTGATGAATGGTTCATCGCCCTGCTGAAAGGTACAACTCCACGGATGGATATCAAACCCGCGGTTCGCAGCATGTCCGGTTTTGTGCCTTGGACAGCCAGATTCTGTGGTTCTGTGGTGCTGGTAGCTTTATGTGCTTGATGTGGTTGCAGCATCGCAGTTTTGTGCATTTTTAAAACTGCAGACCTTCATGTTCATGCCCAGCACCCGGAGGAAATCGAATGAAACCATATTTGATATCTATTTTTGGGTGGTCTTGGATTGTGTGCGGAGAATATGGGCCAAAAGCATCTCAAAGCAAATTTGCTGCTACCGCAAGGTGGTCCCAAGCTCACTTGGTGGGTGGCTTAGACAATACCTTGGCTCCATGGTTCAATCTGGTCTCAAGTAAGATATAGTAGTAAGATGTAGTAAGATTATATCATATATATATAATATGTATAGATGCTGTTTGATGTGTTTTTCTTGCAACTTCTGGTCGGATACCCCTGGACTTGACCTTGAGGCTTGAGCTCCCTGTCATATCATCCTCCATCCTAGGCGAGTTACAACCAACATGCCCATCCGTCGGGTGATCGAAGAGACGCCCTTCCTGGTTGGTGATGAGCCGGTTGGGAACTGGGGGTGGGTCAAAACCTATTATTATCAATTCTAATGGGATGAACATCCATTTACCAGCTATTTTGGGGTTCACTAGGTGCCAGGGTTTTGACCAATAGCCAACTCAGTGAAGGTACAATAATCAGCTGCAAAAGAAAGCAGAGCATCCTGCCAAAAATGAAAAATTTGAATTGCCAAACGTACAGTACACTCCGATCTTCTATGATTTTCTGTTCTCTTGCGATACTTCCAAGACACAGTCGTCGACCTCGTTCGAGGTCATCATCGTTTTTGGTAGCGACGAGTCCTTTACGTCCGAATCTCAGCGCAGGAATTCTTGACATTGGGCTTTTGCAGGAGTCCTTCTAGACAACCCAAGCTGCCAAGGTTCCTAGAATGATCTAGAATTGGCTTGTTTTTAAAGAGTCAACACCTTGGTTCTAATTTGTCTATACCGCGGTTTTCGATCCATACCTTGAAAGTTCAGGAATTCTCTGTCACAGGTGGCGCTTGAGTCGGACTGCCCAGCTATCCTGACCATGTGAGCAGTGTTCAAAACCCCTGTTGGTTGATTCTCAAGATTGATAATATTGGGGATGATCAGGATAATAATAATCACCCACAAACGGAAGCCCTATTAACCAACAAGATCCAACGAGTATATTGGAATCACTGGGTCTCTTGAACACTGCTCATGTAAGGACGAGGATGGTTCAAATCATTCCAAGTCCATGCTTGGTGAAGATGAAGGGATTCTTGTGGCTGCGATGATCTACTTCTTTCATCTGATTTCGGGTCTGATCCACTGTGCCATGATGCCGGATGTCTGTGTGTTTTCCTACGTTTATCCCCACTGTGTTCATCTTCATCAATGTGGCTTTAGATCTTTAGGAGACCATGCCGTGGTGCCGTCATGCCATGATTCAAAAGACGTCCCTGACGTTTTTTCGCGGAGCCCAGCTGTGATGCTGAGCACAGCTGAGATTTGAGACAAAGACTGTGAACTACTGGAAGCAATGGCCGTCCCGGCGAGGATTGAACTCGTTTCCCCAACAGAAACTTGCCATATATCATATCTATATATTCATATCTTACCAGAACATTTTAGGCTTCAGGGGATTTCAGGGGTCTGTGAATGGATTGGAGCAGAGGAAGTGGCTTGGCAAGATTTTCTGAATATTTCTGAATCTAGAGTGCTAAAGTCATCTAAAGTCATACTTCGCATGGAGGTCACATAGTCAAATGCTTTGTTTGGGAGGCAGAGGTAAGAATTCTATTTGCAGCTTCCATCATGGCAGGTGCAACAACTTGACGTTGCCAGTGGAATTCCAGCAGGCCTGCTGATGAAGAAGCCTTGGGTCGGGCAAACCCTTCTGGAGAGATGAAGACCTTGTGAGTTTCATCTAATTTGCAGGTGAGTTTCCCAAGCATTCCCAGACTTGGTGGAAGGATGTTGAAGGGCTTTGACAAAGATGATATGCAATTTTATGATCAACACCCATGGTCACCCCATTTTTCCATTCAGTTTCCATTCGCTGTATCCATGACCAGAAAAACTGGGAAAACCATGAACCAATGGCAGGTCCTGATGCGTGCTGCGATGACATTGGCCATGAACCAATCTGAGGCCGGGGCGAACCTTCGGGGCCGAGGCTCGTCATTCACTACCCCCGGTTGTGGCCCATGGTTAAGAAAGGGGACGTACATATACCCTCTGGTAAACTAACATAACTATGGAAAGATCCACCATTTTTAATGGGAAAAATCCACTATAAATGGTCATTTTCAATAGCTATTTTGACATAACCAGAGGGTAATTGGGACCATCATTTTTGACCATAAATGGGACCATGGATTCCCATGGATGTTATGAGAGAAATCGAATTCTGAACAGCATCGTGAAACCTATCGTTCTCCCCGTTCAACTTGCTATTTCGGAAAAGCCATGTCATATTCTGGTTTTACAATGTTTTACATACCACTATATGAAGTTATGCTGGGGATTAGTTATACGAGTCATGCATAATCATACGAGTTCAACGAATTATAATATAACTTACCTCATATTTCTTTTACAATTGATCCAAATCTCGTGAGTGATGAAGATTTCAACTGCCGAGTAAGATTACCAGTATGTGATATTTTATAAGACCATGTGAGTCCCATTAAGACGAAGACCGCCGCCTGGAATTACGATGATTTGTGGCTGGGATCAGGATTTTCAAACGTTTTTTTTTCCCGACTCATATGAGTTACATGAGTTATATGACTTATGTAATCCCAGATAATCCCATAAAATACAATAAAAAACCCATATAATCCCATCTAATCCCATAAAATCCCATAAAATCCCATCTAATCCCATCTAAATCCCATAAAATCCCATATAATCCCAAGAGGACTGCGGTGGCTTCTTGGCCGCCTTATCTTTGGGTTTGCCGCTGGGGCCGGGCGCCCTGGAGTCCTGTCCGGTGCTATTTTCAGGATATTTCAGTGATATTATACTGGTGGTTTGGGGTTAACTCTGTATTTCTTTGAAGCACTAGTTTTGTTGTTTAAGCATGTATCTGGTTGGTGGTTTGGAACATGGCTTTTATGACTTTCCATATATATTGGGAATGTCATCATCCCAACTGACGAACTCATATTTTTCAGAGGGGTGGCTCAACCACCAACCAGTATAGGATAAATGATATAAATGGGTACCCAAATCAATCCCAGCTCTATATGCATTGATTTTCTATGATTTTCTGCTTAATATGAATAGTATTATAGATTCAAGTAAAAAAAACTTGGGCAATCCCGAGTTTGACTGTAACTTAAAAAGCCAAAAAGCGCCTTCTGAGGCCCTTCAGCCCATCCACCAGAGATTTGAGGGTGTGTCGCCTGCTGGATGAATGTCAGGGATGCCCGATCGATATGAGGTGTCAGAGCATGGAAAAAGCCAATGATGGAACTATGGCTGAAAAATAGATGGATGGAACTATAGGTGTCATCAATAGATGGATGGAACTATAGGTGTCAGAATCTATATGAATCTATAATCTATAGATTCTCGCTAAACTCAAACCATTGATCAGGGGTCAACGAGTCAGGATGTATCAGGATGTGTCAGCAAGAACCACAGGTCGTGATGACCGTAAATGATGGTTAATGAGGGAGACCAAGCCCTAGGTTTTGATGATATTTGTTTCAGGTTTATGACACCAACTTGCCCAGATAGAATGTATGTATGTATGTATGTATGTATATGTATAATATGTATAATGCATATATATATAGATATGTAATCATAATGATAATGATAATAATAACAATAGTAATAGTAATAATAATAGTAACAATAATAACAATACTTAATATGTAATATGTATACAATTAAGACAATCTACAATCTCCATGTCACAGATTCGAATCAACTGCCCCACGTCAGCTGCCATTGACATCCTAAGGCCTGGCATTGCCTGTTCTCAGGGACTTAGGTCTGCTGGAGCTCTGCAAGAAGTTCTTAAGCTTTGCCAAGGAGCAGATGTCCGACTCCTGGATGAAAGTTGATCAAGTTGACCCCCCCCTGCGGCCCTGCGCTGTTGATGATGTTGATGTTTTTTTTTGGATGGTACCATTGATTTTCCTAGCAGATGAAGTCATGGATTGCCATGACTTGCCATCGGATTGATCGGTATTTTCCCAATGGTTTTTATCCACCAAAAAAATGGGGAGCGTCCATCTGCAGGAGATTTGCTACCGAGAAGAAGCTCCCCAACATGCCTACAACTCCTGGGGCGCCTCGGAACCCGAACATTGCGATGTGAAAAAAAAAAGGGTGTTTTTCCTAGCTCGGTAGCAGTATTTTTTTCTCTAGGAAAAGGCTCTGACACTGGAAAATCTTCGTTGATTTTATTAATTTTATTTCAGATCCCATAGGATCCATGTATGCTATATATGGTAACATTTACCATCAATATACTGTACCCCCAATGTTAGCATATATACCATACATGGATCCTGTGGGTATGTATGGACGATTTCACAAAAATCACCTTAAAGGTGTGTCTTGTCCTCCATTCAGCACCTGCTCCCAGGTGCCGCGCAGGATACGAAGCGGGAGCTTCTCGGAGCCAGTTGATTTTTCAAAGCATACATTTTTTGGTTGGGTCACCAGCCAAAAAATGACAGTTCTATAATCTCACCATAATACTTTAAGAGTTGGATTTTCCTCCAGGATTTCTGCGAGTTTGCACATAGAAGCCAAGTTTGAACATGTTTTTTGCTTCATGGAATGACACGACGGGTATTCCTTTTACGGCGGTTCCCAACAAAGGTGGTGATGTCAAGTTGGAATTGAGGTGGGCACCCTACCTGGCAGGCTACAGAGGCATGGGCGAGGTGGGTCAAGTCCCGCCCCACACATGGCGCCATGTTTCAGCATGATTCAGGAGGATTTCAGTAGGGTTTCATGATCACAGAGATTACATGATCCTTTCAGGATGATTTGAGGATCATTTGTGCTCCAGTGTCCTGAAAAAAAGTCCATCCTTTGCAGTTCTTTTGAAAAAAACTTGCGCAGGTTCATCATGGTGGTGCCTTGTTGGAAGATGTTCGGGCGGAGGCATGGTGGATGGGCTGCCAGATGCGGACTGTACATCGCCGGAACTGACTCTTGAGAGGCAGCAGGTTTTTCTTAGATGATAAAGCTATTACATGATATTACATGCTCTTCTCAGGACCATCAATATGAAGCATCACCATGGGACAAAGGAAGGAATCATGTCCATGAGCCATGCGCCCGTGATTTAGCCATAAATGCCAACTATTACCATGCAACCTCGCTGCCTCAGTAGCTTTCAGCATTTTTGGCCGCCCTGAATCGAAGTTTGGATCGCCCAAGGAGCGGGGAGATGGGAGGAAAAGTGACCAGGTCGGTGGCATCGATCCAGTTGGTTGCAATAGAAGCATCTTACCATTGGTACCCTCTGGTAAACGTTTACATAGCTATGGATGACCCCCCATATATGGTATACCCTATATCATATATACGTGTATATATATATATATATGTCTAAATAACTGATTTTGATCCATCCTCCGAACATAGCTACCTTCCAATCAAGCAGTCTAGGATTTTTTTTTTCATCCGTCGATGGCATTCAACAAACTTTTTCATCAAATCATCGGGGGCCCTGGCGCTTTCGAGATTAAGACTGCCATTCCGGGGCAACATTCGAATGTTGCTAGGGACTACGGTTATATGAAAAAAAACACTCTGAATGATATTCCAAGTAGATCTCATCATTCCTCAATCCTCATTGTTTTGCATAGTTCCCAAAACGCGCATCCATGTTTTCAACGTTGCCAGCCCTGACTGGGCTCCAACGCGCCCTCCGCTCCCCAGGACCCATGGCGCCCAAGAGAAAGGCGGGACCTCTGGACACGCTGCCGCCCATCTGCGCGGGGGCCGTGGTCACCTCCATTGCCCTTTGGCTTCGCGCCGGACGAGTGGACGAGGGCTGCCAGCGGGGTGGGGTCGGGGGTCGTGGGGTTTCCCAAAGGCACGATATATTTAATGGTTTAGTGATAGCACTGATGATGATGATGATGATGATGCTGCTGATGATGATGATGATGATTATTGTCATTATTTTACAGGATTGATTGATGGTAGTACGAGTGATCTAGTATCAACAAAGGCGGTACATCCACTTTAATGATCTTTACTGGTTCAACGATAGGAACAATCATGGTTAAGACAATTTATGCATAGCAATAATATGCACTAATGGTCTAAGAATGGTAAGCTATCATCAATGATGGTGCTATTTTGTTCTATAAAATTAATGTTGGTGGCAATACTCATGTGGTAAATCTCTCCAGTGAACATGTGGTGCATCCAATATAACGGTTTCATGATAGCAAATAACTATGATTATGATGCTAACTTTAAAGATTGGTTAAAGGGAAATGCTAATGATTGATTATTAACGATGACAATTGACTACAGAATTAATGAGAGTGATCATAATAGCGCGATAATACAGTGGTAGATTTAATTTTTGCACCATTCTTTTGGCCTTTTTTCTCTGTCGCCCAAATGTTAAATAGGGAAAAAGTGGATGGTTTACTATTGGGTTTACAACGCTAAGTCATTTTTTCCTTTAGATTTGTCAAAGCAACCCCTTGCGTGGTATGTTTCATTTTTTGGTCTTTGGGATTAGCTTGTTTTTGGAGTTGATTCAAATCAATGGCAACGCCGTTGTTTCTTTGCCGTCTGAGTCTGTTCTTGGTCTGCTTGAGATTCTCAAGGCCATTGGTAGAAAATGGTAGAAACATAGCCATAGACACGAAAGCAACCCGGTGCGGAACTGGGTCACTGAGGCGATGTATCCGGTTGACGTCGTGCGCGCTATTTGTTACTTGGAATGATGGACAAATGATGGACACATGTGGCGCCATTGATGCTGGGGCAACATGGATTTCATGGTGTCGAAATCACTGGGAGATCCTCTGATTTGGGAGGTGCTGTTCACATGTGAAGGGGTTTGGGCTTTTGACAAGTTGTGATGACCGGACTTTCTTGAGGTATGTCCAACCCTGGAACTGGCGCAGGAGAGGCGTTGAAGGGATTTTTGGAGGCGCGACTGCTCATAGCACCATGGAAGGGGTAGATCCAGTGGCCCTCCCTAGGGGTGTCTTGAAACTTGCGATAGGGGTACTTCATAACCCCATCTGTAACTATCTGTAATTAATTGCAAATATATATATATATATAGATATCTCTGTAACTATGTGTAGCTGGTGAGTATAGGCATGGGTATACTATTATACATGACAATTCGATAATTTGCTAGCTCTATTTGACGATCCGATTGAATTATCAAATGTTTTTTTTTTGTATTTGCTAAAGTTGGGCCGTTAAACATCCTAAAACATCTAAAACATACCAGAATTAGAGACGTGCGCTGCCCCGAATCGAAGAATCGAATAAACATCATCTAACAAAACATCTCAAACAACGCACACTACATGAGCCGAGCCGTGAAAAACAGCCTGGTTGGTTAACATAAGGGTTAGCTAATCAGTAGGTAAGTCCCTATAATAACATAAATACCTTATAGTAATTGACATAAATGCCAATTACCTTATTAAAAAACGCTAATTTCTTGGGGATTGGTAGGGAAAACTATATCCACCTACTGACGCGAAGGCGCCACGCCGACGTTGCTAGGCGCATGGCATCATGGGCTTCGTGAAGCAGGGCTTGGTGGCGGAAGTGACCAGGGCATCCATCTCCCGAGCCATCAAGTTCCGCAGAAGCAACGAGCAGCTATAGTAGGCTATAGTAGGCTATATTAGGTGATTTTCATGGTGATTTTCATGGTGATTATATAATGGTGATAAATTAATGGTGATTTTCATGGTGATTATATAATGGTGATAAATTAATGGTGATTTTCAAGGTGATTATATAATGGTGATAAATTAATGGTGATTTTCATGGTGATCATATAATGGTGATAAATTCATGGTGATTTTCATGGTGATAAATCAATGGTGATAAATTCATGGTGATCTAATCAATGATCAGCAAACATTGATAGTTAGTGGTGATTTTCATGGTGATTAATCAATAGTTGGTGATGAATGAATGATCAATGGGGATGAATAGTGAATGAATGGTGTTGGTGTTGAACTCATAATTTTCATAACGATGACTTGTGATACCCTGGAGATTCATAATGGTTAACTGTGATGAATGGTGGATTTTCACGGTGGATTTTCCATTTTTCTGCGCCAGTGGATGAAACACGAATACGGATTTGGAGTGATTCTACAATCAAAAACCAAGAGCTTAGACTGGACGGACGCCTAAAATGATCCTTAAACTAAATCACTAATTTTTCGACCCAATATTACAGTTTTTTTTGTGAGTAATCTTTTTAGATATTGAGGTGACATAGTTACTATAGTTCAAGTCTTGTGGAACTTAGCGACAGTCATGTTAGTACAGAACTAGTAAACAACTCGCAATTTCGCCATGGATGGGTGGCAAAAACCATCAAGATGCGGGTGGTTTATTATTGCCTTACTAGTAGCATTGCTGTGTTTTTGTCACACTTTCGTTGACTTTCAACAATTGTGACCAAATTTCTGACAGACTCTCAGGTTCTTTATGCAGCCAATTGTCGCCGCCTCAAAACCTGACCGATACGCTGCTGTGTGTAGATAGTGAAGCGACCGAGACAGCAACAAAATCAATGATTTGTACCACCCAAAAAACAATGTACTTGTACGTAAATGGTTGTACAGCTATGGTTGCATGGGTTAATATGGGTTATATGCCAAGCTATGGTGATTATAACCACAGGTAATGGCATTTATACTACCTTTGAAAGCAAACCTGAGACAAGAACCCTGAGGTGCACAAGAGCCTCTATGGCAAGCCAGAAACAAAGGGCACCCCTGTGAGCAAGGGATTGGCAGGTGCGATTGGCACTGTGCCAGAGGCCGGGGTCAAAATGATGAACAAATGGGTAATGTGGAGATGAGTCAAAACTAATAAGTTTTCATATTTTGGGAGTATGAGCATCAATTTGCATCAATTTACAAGTTATATTGGGGATATTGGGGTGAAAACAAGGGCAGCTACCAGAGTTTTGGCACCCTTGTGGGTGTCATGTGCAGTCAAAATTGAGTAGTCAGCCGCTATTAGCATCTATTAGCCTCGTCAGTTTGAGGCTTGCAAGTGAGAGACTGGAAAATCACCCAGATTTATGGCTCGGCTCATATTCCTGTCTGTCTTGGGTGACTCTGTCCTGCAGGTGTTGGCCATTTCTCCTCTGGAGCGGCTCGGCTGAAAAGATGCAATTAGGCAATCAGAACTGGCACTGGGAAATCCACCATGTTTATTATCTATATATAATATTATTAGATTATATATATATATATTATATCATATAATATATATTATATATAATATTATATCTGTTGATAGATATTTATAGTATTTTAATAGCATAACAAGAACTTGATGCCATGTTACATTGCCAGTGTGCACTGCTGCGGATATTCACGATGCCAAGGAACATCAAGCTGGCAGCACAGCTGGACAAGGAAGGAAGGTTCAATGGATCTGCGGCTCAGCATGAAGGGTTCAGTCAATCATATGGAGGTTTCTTAAGTCGTGGGAGATCCCCAAAACTATGGGTCTCAATACTAGAATGGTCCAATGACTTGGATGATTTGGGGTACTATACCCCCCATTTTAGGAAACCTCATGATGTTCCATAGCTGTCAACTGCTTCTCATTTGACATGGAACATATCTTTCGGTGGACGCTATATCCATCTTGACGACAAGTTAGCCATGGTTCTCAGCTGAGGCTGACATTGCCAAGCACATCATGAAGACTCGAGGCTTCGGAGGTTTGATGATCGGCTACGCTGGAATGCAGGCCATGGAAAACACATCCCAGTAGCTTGGAACAAGGGCAATCTGGACGACACTTTATATTTTTCTATGACATGCATATTTTTCGATGACTCTGAGAATATGTAAGATGTAGGTTTTACAATCCTGCAAGTCTGGTGTGTAAATTGTTGAACAATCCTATCCCATTGATGAAACATGTATAAAAAATATGTGATCTCCTGTGCAAAAACGTTTTTTTCCGATCACAGGTGCGGCAATGTCTCTGGACCGGCGGCTTTTTCCTGACCCTGGACCTCTACAAGGGATGGGTTGGATCCTAAGAGCTGGACACGGCTGGACGGAAACGATGGGGAAGACATGATCTCTACATGACCAGGCCCATGCCCTTAGAAAATCTTATAAATCTATGACTAGAGTGAGCTTATAGTTCTATAGCTATAGTATGCTATATAATGCTATATGATCCAGGCCCATATACTGTAAACTCACTATAGCATACTATAGAACTGGACTTTTTTTTCCCCACCCTGGCAACTTTAAATCCATGTCTATTTGCAAAATTTTCGAACAATTCACCAAATAGATTTTTTCCAGAATTTCCCCAAATTCCAAATCCGAAAAACACACAAATAAATCCCACACTTTCCCAAATTCTATTCCATTTTGGGATTTTCACCCCAAGTTCCCCAACAAATCCTCGAGTCGCAACGGGGGCCAGGTGTCCAATGTCGTGTCCAACAAGTTGGCTCAGGCGCCCTGACCGTGACCAAAAAATGGGAGCTTTGAGCATGTTTTATCGACCACAGTGGCTGTATATATATATGTGTATGTATGTGTACACTATATATATATACATGTATACACTATATATATATGTAAATGCTATATATATATGTATACACTTTATATATATATGTATATACACTATATATATATTATATTATATATATATATAATAATCATCCTGGAGTAGATTTTGGAAAACACAACAAAATGGGAATCTGTTTGAAGATTTTATTTTCTATCGACTTCAGGATGACTGTATATAGATACTATGATTTACATATATACTTGCATATGATATAATATGTACACATATATCATCTAAAATATCACATCATATCAGCCTGGAAAAAGTATGGGGCTGAAATCATATACAGGTAAATTCTGGCGACATCACTGGCTGACCAGACCCCATAGATGATCCAAAAGTATGCGTGAGAATCAACATATTTTGCCCAGAGTTTATCCGCAAACCCGATGTCGAAAAGTCCCTTTGAGTCGTTTTGAGAGAGATTGTGATTATATGAACCCTCACTCATGTTTATACTCTGTGCCAATTTCCGAGTTGGAGATCCTTTAGTCCCCCAATCACTTCACAGTGATTCACAATCCCCCAAGAAAGGACAGCCGTGCACAGACACACACACACACACACCTACCTTCACCTTTTCTGTTGCGTGTCGTGCCATTCTCCTTTCATTGCCACACAATCACAACATGGCAATTCAAACGGGCATTAACATGATGACAAACCACAAGACAACATACTCTTTTTTTTGTTTTTCAGGTCTCCCTTTTCTGTTGTGACAAAGCCAAAAAACATATTGGTGGTTGATGGTGGTTGTATCATGTTGTATATACCATTATATGAATTTATATCATCGGATCATGTGATACGGTTGGTTTATAACTCCAATAACTATGGTTTACGATACTTACACCATTACCCATAGGATCCATGGTGCTGGTATATGCTAACATTGGGGGTATATTGATGGGATCCATGTTACCATATATAGCAGCACCATGGATCCTATGGGCATATACCAACTATTATGGATCCTATGGTATAATAAACCAATAATAGCCATAAACTATACCTATAACTATGGTTAATACATTATAACTATAGTTAGTAAACCAGCCATATAGTTAATAATACCTATAACTATACCAACTCCTAAACTATAATATTATACCTATTATAACTATGGTTTTAATAGTCACTAAAATAAACTATGGTTACCCTCTGGAAAATCAACATAGACCCTGAAAATGACCAATTTATAGTGGAAACTAGTCTTCCAACCCCTATCTGCCAGGGTCTATGTTAATATACCAGAGGGTAGTAAACCAACTTATATCTCCCGCTATTTGTGACCCCCTGGGTCCTTGAGGACGTGCTCTCCGGCTTCGCCGCCGGCGCCACGGGGACTGCCATGAACTGCTGGACTGACGTGACTTGGCAGCGGTTCTTAAGTGACATTTCCACGCCCAGATCAAAGAAATGTCGGCAATCTTGGGTATTAATCTTTATATAGTTTATACATATAGTTTATAGATGTTTATATATAGTTTATAGATGTTTATAGATGTTTATAGTATAAATATGATATAATTCATCCAACTGTTTTGGGTACCCAATGACTGGACCCATTCCCATTGGGCCACGAACATGGCTCCGGTACACCCCTGGCATGTCTGAGGTGTGCCGATCGATCGTCCAGAAGAAGGTTCGAGGGTTTGGGAACTTCAATGGATTGGTTTTGTTGGGAAGATATGGAAACATCTTGACCGGAAACCATGGTTTCGACCACCAATGATAGGGGTTTACGATGGTTTACGGTTTCCGGTTTCGATTTTCCCTCAAACCAATCCAATGAGAACTGGAACTGGATCCGTGTTTCAAAATATTTCCAATATCTTGCTGTCCACAAGATGTCGATGACCAGAGTCAACTGTAGACATACGGTATGCGCCCCTAAGCTCAATCAAGGGTCTTGAGAAATTTGGTTTCCGGTTTTCAACATTTCCGTCGAATCTCCATCATTTCCCATGTTTTTTCTCATGATTTCCCCAAGATTTCCCATCATCTTCCACGATTTTACTCATAACTTCCCCATGTCGACAATGGTGGCAACTGCATTTGGCTCAAGATGAATCAAGATGGAGTGGCTAGGGCCAGAAGATCCGAGACTGAAAGAGCGCCTCACCTCGTTGCTGGATGATGTCCCCTGCTTGTCAGCTAGGTCCCCACGCCACTCCAATGGCCATGGAGGGGACGAGCACAGGCCTTGGGTTGTGCCGGTGCTGCCGCGGCGGCGGGAGCCGAATCTGCTGGAGCTACCAAGCTTGATGGACGAGCCACTTCCAGAGGATTACAAGGTCGTTGGTTGTCCAAAAAATGGAGGGTTTACATGGATTTACCATGACTTACCACCCAACACATGATCATTTCAAATCGCTAGTTAAAGGGAACAAGTATGATCAACCAACGGATTCAACGGATTTAGGGGTACGCTATTTTCAGACAAACCCAGGTGGACCAATGCCCCAGCAGACGACACTGCGGGAACTTCAAGTGCAGGTACTTCCACAAGCCTTCGGAGCAGCGTTGCAAAAACTGGGCATCATGCGATGAGAGCAATTGCCCTGCAATCCATGTTGATGTAACGCAGATTCGTATGACCTTGATCATCAACGCCGCCGATGACATATCCTGCTACGGCCCCGATGATATAGAGACGGGCATACGTTATTCCAAAGCAATCATTAGATCCTTTGAAGGGATCTCAGTCCCAGCCATCATCAGGGCCTTGAGACATTGTCGTTTCCTCAAAATCTTGCTGGTGCCGGAATTGGATTCTGAGGTAGGGAAGTTCTACATCACCGAAATCATCAACACACTAGATTTTGTCCCTGGGCTTCAAGTCATTTACAGGGACCAAGAAGTCGAGATGCGTAGAGACCCTCCGTCATTGCCGCGTCATGTGTCAGCGTCGACGCACGAATCTGACTCGGATGGAGACAGACCTCCTCCTCCAGACTTTAGGTGCTAAAAAGATGGTGCAGCTTGGGGATTAGCCGCTTAGCCGCTTGAGATCTCTTGAGCCCCCTTCAACTCCCTTTGCGAAGTAGTTCCGATTCCACTAGAAAGTTTGTGTTTCATCATGCTCCATGGGTGTGACGTTAAACATATAAGACTCCACCGGACTTCTTCTCATGATTTCCTGCATGATTTCCTTCTATTTTTCACGATTTTTCTCTTGATTTCCCCATGGGTTCCCATCATTTTCCACGACTTTTTCATGAATTCCCTATGATTTCTCATCATTGCCTATGATTTTTCTGATGATTTCCCCATGATTTCCCATCATCTCCCACGATTTGTCTCATGATTTCCGCATGATTTCCCATCATTTTCCACGTTTTTTTTAAAATGGTTTCAGGTATTCTTCACCCCAAACCGGCCGCCCAGGCCTTGGCCGACACCTTCGACCCAAGCATTCCAAGGCCCAGTGCCTTTGAGCCCTACAACCCGGCGCCCTTCTTCGCCGAGGTCCCTCCATAAGTCGACTTGGGATGGTGAGGTTGATTGTGTGAACAAAAACACACATTTTTGGAATTTAGGGTGAAAAATCGGAGAAACACATTGGTGGTGGATGAAAGGAGTTGACCGACCCCAGTAATGGGGATGTCGATATAGATTTGAAATACCAGTAAATTGGTTGATGGTTTCAAAGATTCTTAACTTTCCCACTCCCTAAAACTTGGAAGATGATCCCAACTGACCATACAATATCTTTGGGATGAGTGGCTCATCCACTGACCAGCCCTGGCTTTTCAAAGGAATGATGAACCACCTGATCAACTGGGATTTCATGCATCAACTATAGGAATTCCATCGATTGACTCCACGAAAGATGAACAAATTGATCTATGGATGACCCCATTGCTTGACACGTATCGAATGGTGACAATGCAGACCTCACTCCACAGTCCACAGTTGCCCTTACACCTGGCACTCTTGTCGCTGCATTCGCTGCATCGCTTGGCACTCTTGCCTTTGCATCGCTAATACCTCTACCGCTCTGATGGACGTAGCGAAAGCAAAGGCAGCGAACAAGTTGAAGCGTAGCATTGAGTCAGTGATCAAGTTAGTTGAAGCATGGGATAACCTCAATTTCCAGTGAACAAAACGTTACTGCACCCCACCCCACCCCAACCCACCTCACCCCCAAGAGCATTTTTCCAGTCGCATTCCAGGGGTGTGCAAAGTGCGTGAGTGCTAAGTGGTGAATTTTCAGATCCTCCTTTCTCGCGCCTTCCAGAGGTTTGAAGCTCTGTGAGTTCTAAGCGAGAGGATTTGAGAGTTCTAAGTGATGTTAGTGAGTGCTAAGTGAGAAAATGTGAGAGTGCCAAGTGATGAGGGTACCCACAGATGTGGCCTCATTGCTTGGGACATGGCGCCCAATTACCCCCACCGACTAGATAAGAGTGAATTCCTGGTCGGATGGTCATCTCTCCGATTTTCATGAGGGGTTAATATACGCAACATAGGATAGAACCGCCATGTTTATCACATTTTATATCATCTTATCATATTTTATCACTAATTTCGTAGTATTTTGAGTTTACTGTCATTTTTTTAGGGGATTACTATATAAGCAACCCTCAATGAGGGTGGGACCATTGGCGCATGCAACTTGACTGAACATCAGCCAGGCGGCTCACTTGGCGTCCACCAAGGGCATTGGCAGCCTGGCTTGAAGAATACACCACAATGATGAGACCCAAAATCCCCATATGGGAAACTATATAGAGTATGTATATACAAGAATATGCCTATATATATATATATATGTATGTATAGTGTCCCCCAAGAAGACAGTTTTTTTTTCAGGATGTTACGTCCTGAAAACCGACGGGGAAAATTTGACCCGACATCCTGAAAACCGACGGGAAAATTTTGACCCAAATTTCTGGGAGAAATTGCCGGATGAAAACCTTGCAGACATGTGAGAGCCCAGCATGCATGCCGAATCCACAGATAGCTGGGGGATACTGAAGATAGAAAAGCCGAAATGAAAAATCTGATCCCACAATCTATATACATCCCGAATCTGCAAATAGCTTGGGAGATTCACAAAGTAGGTGAAAATCATCAGTCTCCAGCCAGCCACCTGCCGAGCGCTTGACCCCTGAGCCCTCGCGCACTGCACGGGTATATATATATATATACACACACATATATATATGTATACATATATATATACATATAGATATACACATATATACATATATATATATATACATATAGATATACATATATATATGTATACACACACACATATATATATATATTTGCATATAGGCCCCATTGAAAATCCCATGTCCAAGTCCCTTGCATCATTCTTTTTGCTTTCAATTTTTGGTGGTTTCCCTGCCTTCCGTTTACCTATTTGAATTTGGAACTTGGTGCAGCCATCAAAAATCGCAATCTTGCATTGGCACACCAGTACAAACTCGCAGTTGGAAATCTCATGCGCCTGTGGTTTTCACCAAACATGGGACATCCCAGAATGTTTGCAGAATCCACACATAGCTGGGGGATATTGAAAATAGAAAAGCCCAAATTAAAAAATCAATCCCAGAATCTATGCCGAATCAGCAAATAGCTCGGGGATACTGAAGATAGAAAAGTCCAAATTAAAAGATCAATCCCAGAATCTTTGCCGAATCAGCAAATGGCCTGGGAATATTCACAGTAGAAAAACAAAACAAAGTTGGTGAAAACAAATGGGAAAAGTACGCTACTTACAGGGTTTCAGCTTTTCCAAACTTTTCTGTCTTTAGTATCGTCTGCATATATGTGGGAAAAATCACAATTGGATCATTTTTATTCCTTAAAACTTTTCTATCTTTAGTATCGCCTGTAATTTTACAGGGAATTGTGCACTTAAAATCATCAAAATTAAGGAAATCCTGTAAATTTACAGTCAATACTAAAATTACTGTGCTTCGAGTGACCCCCACCATGACATTTCAAAACAGCTTGTTGACACCACTTTTGTCTGAAGCTTTTGTCACGGGACTTTTGCCCAACTAACTATCCCAATCATTTGTTTCACCTGGCAGGTCATTGTGCATGTATCGCCGTGTTCTTTGGACAAAGGTTCTGAACAAATAGCCTTTTCTATATGCTTGCGTGTTTCTGAAGCTGACACCTGACCCACTGCCTTGCGAAATTCAGCTGCAGTCTGATATAGTACAGACCGCCGAGGCTTGTCTTTGATAAACTCAGCCAGTTCCTCCTCTGTTTGGATTGCAGCAGCTAATGTTTCCATTTCTTCCAACTTGGCGGCAGCCACTTGCCAGCAAGTGCTTTTGTCTAAAGGCACGGTGTCTGGACAGTGATAAGAAACTGGAACATCTTCGGAGCTTTCCAGCAACTCTTGCGCCCCCAGTGTAGAATCCACCCAGTGACTCTGTCATCTGTTCAAACTGATTGCTTCAAACTTTGCCACCTGCAAAGTAAGAAGTGGCATTGCCCCGGTCACTCTACCACACACGCGCGAGTTTGCAAGTAATATAAAACATACTTGTCTGACATTCTTTCTAACTTTCTTCTGCACATTCTTTGTTCCATATCTTCCTACATGAGGTCCGGCAGGGAACACTTGGCGTGGATACTCGCGGTTGAGGTCCGGCAGGGAACACTGGGCGTGGATGGTCGTGGTTGAGGTCCGGCAGGGAACACTGGGCGGGGATGGTCGTGGTTGAGGTCCAGCAGGGAACACTGGGCGTGGATGGTCGTGGTTGAGGTCCGACAGAGAACACTGTGCGTCGAGGGTCGCGGTTGAGCAGGAGGAGGAGGAGAGGAGAGGAGGAGAGGAGCAGGCAACTGACATAAAATCTAACAACCCTCACCTGGCAGGTGGGGAAATAGGAAAAATGCAAGCCTGAAAAAAAAATCCCGTTCTTTTCAGGTTGTATCTTTTCTATTTATCTTCTCGGGGAACACTATTAAAAAAAAATATATATATAACATACGCCCAAAATGGATGGCTACATGATACCAAAATTGACAACTTTCACCAAAGTCGTTTCCGATTGTTTGCCACCGGATGTACCCTGAACTTGTATTTCAACATTCCGAGTTAAGAAAAAACACCCGCGACATACTGTGACATTCCCGTTCTCTTTAGTATATTTGGATATTTTCCTACATTCAAATAACTATGACATTTACACGGGTATATCTGCAATATACATACGTATATTTGCATGAAATAATATAGAGATATATTTACATATTTACATACATACATACATACATACATGCATGCATGCATACATACATACATACATACATACATACACATATATTTGTATACCCTATGCTTCCAAAGGACATATCTGGTATGGTCGTTACGTGCTAGCCTATACCGGGGTTTTGGAAGCTATACCAGGATGTTTTCCTGGTATAGGCGAGCAGTTTTCCCGGTATAGGCTTTCATGAAATCCCTGTATAGGCGTTCATGTTTTCCCGGTATAGGCCCTAAGCCCCTTGAGTCCATACGTATAGGCTGTGAACCATCCCCTGCACAATCTAGATTGTTTTTTGCAAGCTATTTCATTTGTGTGCGCGAACCCGACCTCGTGTTTGCTCATTGAAGCTGGGCACAAACAAACCGCCAAAAGTCAAAACAAACAGCCATCAAAAAAAACAAAAACGATTTCAGATTTTTTTTGTGATCCCGAGTCCATGTCCTGTCCCGGTATAGGCGTTCCACGTCCCAGTATAGGCGTTCCACGTCCCAGCATGGGCGTTCCACGAGTTGTCCTGGGGTTGTCCTCGGCTCCCTGTGCTTTCAACATGCCATCTTTTTTTCTTGCTGAAATTCTCTGAATGTTTCTGATATCCTGACTCAAACTCCAGAGCGCATGCCCGTTTCCAAGAAAAATCTACATCGTTTTTTTTTTCTGCTGGGCATTTGTGGACAATCCAAAGGGGTCTTAGCATATCCTATTACCATTCCTTGGGCCAGTATCCTGGTATATCCTGGTATAACCCTTAGGCCACTCCCGGTATAGTCGTTCGTGGCTTCCTGGTATGTCCGAGGTGTTATCCTGGTATGTTCGAGCGAAACCCGGTATGTTCGAGCATTCCCAGTATGTTCGAGGCTATACCAGATATGGTCGAGGAAGCATAGGGTATATATATATATATGTATATACACACACATTTTGCATATCTTCCACATGTTGAGTGAACCTCTCCTCCCCCCTAGGTGGCCTCTACGCGGGCGTGGGGCCCAAGATGATCCACCTGGGCGGCAGCGGCGCGATTTTGGCCGTGCTGATGCCGCGCTTCAAGGGGATGTGGTGCCTGGGCCTGGAAGGGTTCAACGGACCAAAGATGGGGAAAATGATGGAAACATACTGGAAAAATGGAAAATATGGAGAAGACGATGGAAAAGTGAGGCAAGAGAAAGTCGGAGTTGATTCAAGATGATTTTAAGCAACGAGAATTGGGGATTTCAACAACAAAAACTTGGGATCTGGCAGGAAGATTACACCAACGGGTTTTCATCAGCAGACTGGCCTCCGGCAAGCTGACCTGGCAATGGGAATTCCATAGTTTTTGTTGCGTATATAAATGGGAAGAAAAAACATTGCCAGGTTTGATTACCAGAGACCAAACCACTGGCATTGAGAGGATGACAATTTCAAGGAAAATGATTAAGAATTTGGGTTGAATCCACAACAATGCGGGATTTCACCGGCAGCTTTGGGGTTTTCACCTTGAAGAAGAGCGTGTTCATGAAGAAACGTGGGATCCAGGTTTTTCCAACATGGAGTTGTTTTATTTTTGTTTTCCCTACTAACCGCAGTGGTTGAATACACATCCCCAACTGGCACTCAAGGTTCGACATGATGAACCTGGAGTGAGAAAGCCATCAAAGCGCCGTGGCTTTGCGCAGTTGGTGCCAGCTACGTAGCAATTGCTTGAAGAGTTCAACATTGGGGGCGAATTCCCCCAAAAACAGCTGCTTTTGCTGCTTGACGTTGCCATGTTTTTTGAATTTGTTCATACATCGAATTGGCAATATCATATTGTTCAATCAGGAGATTGGCAGTGGCGAACTGCCGAGTTTCTGAAGCGGGCGGATACGAGACCTAGTGACACGCACTGACGGAGACCTGTGTGCAATTTGCTGAGGTTGAACTTTTTGGAATGATTCAACTGTCATGATGCGTGGCATTCCAGAGCTGTCACAGTCATGCTGTAAACGGTTTGCTCAGAAGGGATGGCTCTGATGAGATGTCCAACTGAGATGGCACTCCGAAGATTTCACAAGATGATCAGTTTAGACAGTTCCAGAAGTTTCTAAATTACCTTAGGCCTTAGCATTCAGAAAGAACATGAAAGAACAGTTTGGGATAGTTACGGGTAGTTTGGATTAGATTTTGGGGCGCTTCTCTGGCACCCATGTTGCGAGGGTGCTACAGCGCACCTGGCGCCTGGCGCACCTGTAATTCTTTTACATCCAGAGCCCTCAGCCCATCCCATAGATTCCCATAGCAGAGTGGACAAAAAGAGCGACAGATATCGACAGATGTTGTTTTGGCCATAGTTCCTATGGACAAGGGCCTGCACAGCTTGCAAACTGCCTGCATCCCCGGACCAGGGAACCACAGATATGGTATGGCAGCAGTTAGTGCCTCAAGACGAGAGGCTTTGGGGATTGGAAGCCTCAAATGATGACTGATGTTGCCTGCCCTAAGGAATGCTGTCATCTATGGCTTGCAGGGACCTTAAACAAAGATCATCAAATATCCTAAAGGAAGCTTCTCACTGGATGGTTTGCCAGTGATTTGACCAAATGCAATTGAAAGAGACCCAAGAGATAGCATTGCAACAATTGAACCTGCCAGCTGTGTGGCGTTGGATTGGTTCCTCAACTGATTACGTTCAACAAATGATACCAGAAGAAAAATCCTCATTTTGAAGGGTGAAACTGTCAACCACCCAATTTCCCCGCTGCTTTGGCACACATTTTGCAATGCCACGTTTCAGGTTGGCAATTTCTTTGGTGCACGCCTTCTTCGATATCCGTCTTTCCCAGGATGTTGCAGCCGAGCCCCTTGATGATATATGGGGGTTTCTATGGGTGATCCCCAATAGCTGGATGGTCTATGGAACATCGAGTGAACATGAATGATTAAAATGGGTATCCCATGGTATCCCCATTTTAGGAAACCTCCAGATATGCTGATCTTCAGGATGTCTTTTGCAAACCTAAACCCGTGTGCTTCATCAGGAGCTTTGCACACCAAAGTTGTGTGAGAAGTTGGAGTCACCAACTGAGCTGGAAAGGTTGGCAGTTTGTTGACCAGCTTTCTGTCAATTTCGCCACATTTCTTGAAAATTGAGTGGTGGAATGTGGGAAGAAAGATCAACTTTCCACTCGAAGACGACAGAATGAACAACATGTTTGGCCGCTGGATGTGGCAAGGAAGATCTGTTTCTTCCTCAGGCAATACGCTCACCTCGCTTGCGAAGCTTTCGCCAGCAGGTCATTTTGGTGAGTCTGTGAGGTTCTAATCAATTCAGAAGTCCGAGAGTCAACATTCTTCTGACAAGACTGTCTGATTCGTACAGATGGAATGGATTCTACAGGCTCTTCAACTATTTCCCCTTCTAGATTCTAGGTAGATCTTGTTCATCTACTGGTTGGTGGTATGTCACATAGTTTTTCTGGACTCCAAGGTTTCCTCTTCTGTTTTTCCCCACCTGCCAGGTGAGGGTTGTTAGATTTTATCAGAGTTGTTCTCCTCCTCGGCTAGCTGTCCTCCTCCTCCTCCTCCTCCTCGTCCTCCTCGTCCTCCTCCTCCTCCTCCTCCAGTTTCTCCTCGACCATGTCTGCATCAACTTCCACCTGCACTTCCGCCTTGCCAACTCTTCGCCAAGCTCTTTGCCAACTCTCTTCGCCAAGCTCTTTGCCAACTTCCCAGCTCAGTGTGCACCGCTGGACCTCAACCTGGGACCTTCCCAACTCAGTGTGCACCGCTGGACCTCAACCTGGAACCTACCCAGCTCAGTGTGCACCGCTGGACCTCAACGGCCAGATAGAATGCCAGAAGATATGCCAGATAGAATGTCAGATAGAATGCCAGAAGATATGCCAGATAAAATGCCATGAGATATGCCAGATAGAATGCCAGAAGATATGCCAGATAGAATGCCAGAAGATCTACAAGATAGAATGCCAGAAGATATGCCAGAAGGTATGCCAGATAGAATGCCAGATAAAATGTCAGACAGAATGCCACAAGATATGCCAGATAGAATCCCAGAAAATTTGCCAGATAATATTCAATATGCCAGAAGATATGCCAGATAGAATGCCAGATAGAATGCCAGAAGATATGCCAGAAGATATGCCAGAAGATATGCCAGAAGGTATGCCAGATTGAATGCCAGAAGATATGTCAGAATATGCCAGAAGATATGCCAGATAGAATGCCAGATAGAATGACAGATAGAATGCCAGAAGATGTCAGATAGAATGCCAGAAGATATGCCAGATAGAATGCTAGAAGATTTGCCAGATAGAATGCCAGAAGATATGCCAGATAGAATGCCAGAAGAATTGCCAGATAGAATGCCAGATAGAATGCCAGAAGATATGTCAGATAGAATGCCAGAAGATTTGCCAGTAAGAAAATGTATAAATGTCATGGTGGGGATCACACGAAGTAAAGTAATTGAAATCACATTTTTCCTACATGTTTCACATGTTTTTTGTTTTTACTCGTACATAGTGTTTTTTGGTTTTAATACACGTTTTTTTCACATATTTTGTACATATTTGCTAGCTACAGTGGTTGCGAAATCCGGCACCCGTATTTATAGGGTTTCAGGGGTTTATCCCCATATTATCCCACAAAATTATAGGGGTTTCTCCGGTGCAGTTTGGGAGTCCCCGAACTCGTCAGGTCCCAGCTCTATAAGGCCTTTGGTGGAACGACTGATCGTCTGTGTGGACCTCAATGGGAATGGAATTCTCTTTACATGTATCGTATAACAGGATGTAATACATGTAATTATATATAATATTTATAGCAACTATATATAATATGTATAATATATATATATATATACACTGGTAGGACAAAAGTTGCGCTTGTTGAGCTTCCCACAGTGAACATGTTTGGCTTCTTCTTCTGCACACCCTTTCCCCGTAGAATCCTAGCATGGAGCTTTGTCGTACCCCGGTCGCATTTCCCCCCTCCAAAAGCTTTAAAATCTTATATATTTAAAAGAGGGTGATAATTGACCGTCCCACACCTGCCACACAAAACGGACTTGAAAATGCGATCCGCGGTTGACCGACATGGATGTCTTGTAAAGCTTTCAAGAAGCATAAACTTTGTTCCTCCTGAAGTATATCTCTTATGTATCATATGTACACAGTATACGTACACACATGACTCGTATATATACATATATACATATATATACAATGTATTATAATATATATATAATATGTACATCTGATATGGATGTACAGCCACTTGTAAACCCCTTTTGGTACTCGCCGAGCATTTCGCAAGATCCACCTTATGGGGATTTTGCTGGTGAGGCCACGATTGCCTTCTGGTGCTGGTGCCTTGTTTGCACGCCATGATGCATGAAGGGACGAAGGGACGCAAGGGAGGTGTGTATATAGTCAAGGTTGATCACATTTCACCAACAATCATGATCAATCATGGGGATGTACATCAAAGGCGCTTTAGTCCATTGATTTCTATTGGCTTTCGTATTTGACCCACCGGTGTGTTTTTGTATGCGTGTTTGACGTTGGAATGCTATGTCCGAAGAGGCTTTTTTGACGATGACCTGCACTTCTTCGTTTGTGAGGCTGGCGTACTGACTTGCTGATGAATCCTGTTGACAAAGTTGGGGTGTTCTTCACATTAAACATGGTCTTTCTCGGAAAAAAATAAAGGTACGTACACCTCAAACTTGGGACTTATAGTCTTTTTGTAGTTTTCTGTTCTTTTTCCCCCTTGGGCCCCAGGCCCAAAACATCAGTCACTTAAAACCCCAGGCCCTAACCGCCCGAAACATCGAGGACCTGGATCCGGAGATCCACCCAAAGGATCCGTCACCGCCCGCGGTGCACACGTTGACCTCGGTCCTGTGCCGCTGGGACGTCATACGTCGGGCTTGGGGGGTGTCGGTGCAGGGAAAAACCAACAGAAAGATGCGGAAAAGCGGAACAAAAAACGTGGTTTACCTATGGAGATGATCTAGAAATGGTGGCTTTTCCAGATCTATGTTGGTGAAAAATGAGGGTAACCCCATAGATCCACCCTGGTTTTGTTTGGTGACGGGATAGGGGCAATTGTCCCCAAATGGCCGAACTTTGATATGATTTAGCCAGACATAATGGGCTTGCTATTTTGACAGGGGATTGAGATGGGGATGCCTTTTCAATCAACAAAGTATGGTTTTTTGACCAAGAGATAATGGGAATAATACCATTGAAGCGCCAAATTCTGGGGGGTTCCTCACTCGTGGGGGACCCCAAGTCATTGTCCAAGTTATTTTGGTCATTTACTGACAAGGGGAAACCAATGATTTAATGGTGAAGGGGTACCCCTATTTTAAATCTCACGCTGGCTACATCCGACTACGGGGTTGCTGAGCTAGGTGGATTCTGAATGACTTGATCCTTCCAAAGCCTCAAATTGTGGCAGAAGTAGGATCTTTTCAAGCCACAGTGTCCGCACATGTCCAGGAGCGCAACCGGAAATATCCTCAAAGATGGTAGGGAACAATCCAAGAGGTCCAAGAGGTCCACGAGTCCACGATTTGAGGTTGGGCTGCCGCCGATCGCCTCCACCGTGTGGTCAGAGCCTGATGCGTCGGTACCGCGAGTTCGACCCATACCCAGATTGCCAGAGTGGGAGTCGAAGCCTATGGGACATCGGGACCACTTTTTGGGGGATGGATCAAGCGAAAAAAAACATAAGGTTCTCATCATGGGGCTGATAAACACACATCGAGAACCAGCTATCTCCTTGTGACACCAGGGTATCACCGTTTTGATCCATAGCCCTTTGGGTCACGGTTGTAGTATTCCCAAATGGGGTGGCACGTTGAGTCCAGTCCAGGGCCATAATTTCGCCAATTCCATTTTGAGTGACTAAGGATGGGTTCTTGGTTCATTCGTACTGCGGAAAAACATATTCATGTGATATCATGTGATTTTTGGGCCCCAAGGAAGGCAAAGCCATATACGACTGGTCTGGTGGGGTTTACAGGGCACCATGATGGGCCCCCAAGATAGCTATGTTGCCTTATAATTAAGTGGCTTAACTATGGTTTATGGTAGATATAACATGATAATAAATGATATAACTATAAGTTAATGGGGTTTATAAACCAACATATAACTGGGCGGCACCATCCTGCACCATGATGTACACCATGGATAGATGGGAGTGCGGCTCAGTTCCTAAGGCCGCGCATTTCTTCAGGGATCCCATCCGAGCAGAGCATTGGCAGAAGAAAGCTCTGGAGATTCACGAGGACGGTCTGACCTCGGATCAACTGAGCAGTGTAAATTGTAAACGATAAAAGCCCTGTTGATGACGAGTTCGGGAGAACCCGGCAACATGAGAATGACTTGCGGATGATCATAATCCATCAGAATTCATCATAATCCATGAGCTGGGAATAATGAATAATGAATACTCAAGCTTGAGTGAAAGAAACAGGGGCCAAGTAGGTCTTAGAGTCTTCGGCTAGGAGATTTGCCAGCAAGCTTGGAACCCCGCCAGAGGCCGCCCACTGTCCGTCAGATACAACCAACCAATTGTTATCATTGATATCCATTCTTAGTACTTTTTGGGCTGATTTCTAACGTGTTTACCACATTAGTCATATGAATTATTATATAGATGTGGATAGATGACGTGGTAGAAATCATTTGAATAGCCATGGCAAAGTTTTGTGACGCAGCATGTGTCTGGCCACGCGAAT